CCGTGTTACAATATATTTTTAAATCTTTAGTTTATAAATGATAAAAACTAAACATCCTACAGTATTTTTACAGTCTTTATTTTACAGTTAAAATAAATGTTTATTAAATAAAGTCTAATGTTACAACTAATCATGGATCCCTTTAACGTTACAGATCCTGGTTCTCCTCATCACTGGCTGCTGAATCACAGGCAGCAGAGGCATCGACACACAGAAAGGAGGAAACACACAATAGTTCTTGGTGATTTATTAACCATCTGCAGTATTCACAACATTACACATAATTTAACACAAGAATAAATTTAGCCTGACGTGTGGGTCCTGTTGGTTAACAAGCTACACAATCCTGCCGCTGCCTTCCTGCACAAACCTGACTGCTCCCTGTGGGGCTGGGCTCCGGCCCGGCTCATGGAGCCTGGGTGGTTCCTAAGCCCACGGCGTTGGCGTAGGCTGACAGCAGACTGACCACCTGCCTGGTCTCCAGAGTCAGCCTGGCCTCAGTGAGCCAGTCCTCGGCCACCCTGCGGGCCTCTCCCTGCAGCTGGTTCACCAGTTTAGCAGCCAGCTCCAGGTCTCCGTGCTCCAGGCAGTAGCTGGCGTAGGACAGCAGCTTAAAGGGGTCTAGATCCTCCCTGCTCAGCTGGCTGGGCGGGGCCTCCTGCTGATCCTCAAACAGCAGCGCAGCCTGGACGTAGGACAGGAAGTACTGGTACAGAGAGTTGTGGGACTCGTCTACCAGGGCCACCCTGCGGGCGAGCCCTCGCAGGGCGTTGAAGCGGGCCCGCAGGGAGGCTTCGCTGTACACGCCGCGCCGCAGAGACTCTTCGGGCAGAGCGGACGCCAGGGCCGAGGCGAAGGCGTCCTCGCCGCAGCTGGCTCTCACGGCCTGAGCGGCGTCCTCCAGAGGGGCGCTGGGGGACTCGGCGCCGGCGGTCTTCAGGGTGTAGCCCAGAGCTTCCACAGAGAGCCAGAGCTGGTGCGCTCGACGGGCCTCCTCCTCTGCCACCACGTGACCTGGATTCACACAGAGATGGTCACATCAGAGGGCTCACCGCAGGAAACATCAAGAAACCATCAGAGCGCTTCAAAACGTCACGTTCTGACGTCAACACAGGAAGCTACTTCACACACCTCTAACACGCAAAGGGACTGACTGTGGTGGGCCGCTTGTAAAGTTACACAGTCAAAAATACCACCAATATTTTTGTTATATTTAGCCTTTTATAAGAAAAAAAGAACAGATTTATTTTTCAAAATCAGTTTTTCACCATATGATTCATACATTTATAAATGTCACAGTTTATAAACTAAATATTTAACTTATAAATTAAATATTTAGTTAACAAGCTAAATATTTAACTTGTGACTTAAATATTTAGTTTTGAGCTAAATGTTTAGGTTGCAACTTAAATATTTAGCTAGCCACCTAAATATTTAACTTAAATATTTAGCTACTTAAATATTTAAGTTAAATATTTAGGTAGCTAGCTAAATATTTAAGTTGCAAGCCAAGCATTTAGCTCAAAACTAAATATTTAAGTCACAAGTTAACTATTTAGCTAGCTACCTAATTATTTAACTTAAATATTTAGCTAGCTACCTAAATATTTAACTTGCCAGCTAAATATTTAAGTTAAATATTTAGCTGGCTAGCTAAATATTTAAGTTGCAAGCTAAACATTTAGCTCAAAACTAAATATTTAAGTCACAAGTTAAATATTTAGC